ACACACACACACACACACACACACATATATATATATACACACACACACACACACACACACACACATATATATATATATAAACACACATATATATATATATATACACACACACACACACACACACACACATATATATATATATACACACACACACACACACATATATATATATACACACACACATATATATACACACACACACACACATATATATATATACACACACACACACACATATATATATATACACACACACACATATATATATATATACTTTTGTGGCTGAGCGCCACTAATGGTGTTCAAAACAGCTGATACGGCCACCTTAGCTCAAAAGATTTATTGGACAACAAATTACAAGTATTCAGAAACCATTTAAACAAGATACATTGTATGCATACAAGGGGCATTTTACCGAACCGACCTTCAACGGATGAGTCTCCAAGCAAATGCACAGATCTGCAGCCTCTGTCCCTGGATCTTATCACAGATTTTAGCAGGCTCTGTCTCTGATTGGTTTAAACAACCCGTTGTCATGGTTACGGGGCTCTTCTGCTTTGCTAGATATGCCCTGGAGGTTACATACCATAGATAAAGAATTTTATTGCTCTTTGTTAGTCAAACGCTGGTGTTTTTCTGTGAAGATCTTCTCCTCTAAACTGATAACAATTATTAAACGATTAAATGCTACTTTCTATTATCTTACTAATTTTATTTAGTCAAACTATATTGTCTAAGTTAGAGAAATGTGTTCTAGATTCTTTTATGTTCATCAGTCTGTGTGTGTGTGTGTGTGTGTGTGTGTGTGAGCGTGAGTGTGCGTGTGTGTGTGCGTCCATACTCAGAGACACCTTCCTGGAGTCTAATCAGTATCTTACCTGCTCTGAGACGCTTGTAATTATATCAAAATGTGAACTTATAAGATTGTGAATTTATAAGATTGTCTCTAGCTAATGTAAGATTATATTTAAGCAAAGTAACTGATTAATATTTAAATGATTGTAAGGTAGTGAAAACCCTTCAAAAAAATGACACATACACACATTTTATAACATGAAATTTCAAGCTTGATTAAAACTGTAGTGAACTAGACCTAAGGTCAAGACCTTGACCGTAAGAACCATTTGGGACAGAACTGTCATTTCATTGATTTGAATCCAGAAATACAGGTTGACCCATCCTGAGACTTTCTTTCTTGAATTAATCAAGTGAAGAAGACTATTTTCTATTATCATTACCATTTTACAAATGTTTTGATAATCAAATTGTGTTTTAGTTCAAACCATTTTTAAATGTTGAAGTGAACTAATCATTTAAATCAACTGTGAAACAGTATAATGATTTTTAATCCTCATTCAAAGTGGAATCAAGTTGGAATACGTTACGGAGTAATGATTCATTTCTTGATCGTCTGTTTGAAGTGAGTAAGTTTGTAAGTGTGTCGAAGTTCAAGTTTCGGTCAACTGAAAGTTTACTGAAAGGAAATGTCATGTTTAACTTTTACAGCAAGATACTGGAAGAAGTGACTCCACGAAGTCTGGTTCCTACATAATATCTTTCTGTCTGTTCTTAAACAATCTTAATCTTTTCCTTGACTTTTCATAACACCTTACATCACAAAACACACCTCTGTTTTGGTCCATCGACCAATCAGAAACTCTCAAATGAACCGGAAGTGACCCTTCTTTAAATGTGACACTTCCTAGTTCTGCTGAGTCTTGGAGTTCAGTCTTGAAGTTCAGCTCAGTCTTGAAGCTGCAGTAAGCTCAGTCTTGAAGATGGAGTAGCAGTTCTGAAACTCAGCAGTTCCAGAGTTCACAGGCTGGAATCCAGGATGCTGATGAAAGAAAAATCAAGCTGAACCAGAGAAGATTCTGGGAATTATGAAAGTCTGTTTTGGATGACCTCACGACTCCAGAGGTTTCAGCTGTTCTCACGGAGACGCTGAAAGAGTTGAAAGGAGAGCTCTACACCAACGCTGAAACTATCTTCAGAAAAGGTAAAAGTCGATCTTCAACTAAGCGTACCGTTGGACAAGCTGATTTCCAAAGGAGCGTGCATGTTCTGGTTAAAACAGACAAATTCCCTCACACATCTCTCTGTAGATAAACTTCATCTTTCCATCTCTAAACTCTCCTATCTGCTAGCAAATTAATCCAGATGTTTTTCAGAAATGTCTGTGGTGAAGCAACGGAAAATCATGGCCGTATGGTTTTCCTGGTTGTAAAGCTGATTAATTATGTTGTTATTTTCAATTTTTGCCAATTAATGTAAATGTGTGATGTGTTAAACTTGATTCTGTTAATAAATGACCCACTGTCGTGGTGAGTCAAAGATAATTAACGTCTCACGTCCACATTTTATTAAATTCAAGTGCACGTTATTAAACAGTCCAGAAAAATGAAAGAATCCGTTTAATATTATGAATATATCTCATGCATATGTTCATACTACAAAATAATAAAAGATAAAACATGAAATCCAACAATACACACACATA